CCCACCCTGATATTAGGTAGTAATCATACAAACGGATTCGTTAGACACTTCCACTTGGTAGCGTGCGGAGTCTTCGAAAATGGGTGCGATACAAACGAGTGTTCGCATTAAAACTGATTGTTCGAAACGAAGAAAGCACTCCGAGAGAGTTATTCATTTGAATATAGAAGTTAAATCACATTAAAGTTATTCATCACGACAAAGACTATCGCGATTATTATCAGGCTGAGGCTCAGATTTAGGCTCAGGCTGACAATAAAACTTGTTCCGGGACCGCAGCTGAATTTTGTTGCGTTTGAACAATTTTCGAATAATTATTACAAAGATTATTTTCTCAATAATAACTATGATACTGCTAATGGTAATGTAGAACAAGAATAAAGAGAACTGCCTGAGGAAAAGGAATGAATTTTTGAAAATAACACAAAACGCAGCAAATTTAAGTTCAGAACGAAAATATCAATGTTCCATATGCTGAAGAATTGAATTTTGTCAACACATCTTCAAATAAGTAAACTTTTCAACATGTCTTCGAATAGGTGATTTGCTCAATAGCAAATTACCTATTTGACTATAAATCGACCACAGCTCATTACCGCATTCTAACAATACGAATTCATTCGGTAGTTGTTAATTCCTATTTGATGGAATGCAAACATCTTCACTGCATTGCGAACTGCAAATGAACGCACCTTGTGAACTTTTTGGAAACTGCTCACCTAATTCTTCTATGTGTTGAGTATTACTGTCTTCCATGAGTGTTCGAATCTCGTGCCAATATAGTTTATCTGTCTTACAACTTCAAAGTTTTGCTACGTTAATCTAGGATCATCGTATCATGGCTTCATTTGTTAGAATTCATAATAATTCCACGTCATTAATATCTCGAAATGAAAGGATCGGTTCGGATGTTTATTTTTGATGGTTATTTCAAATTTCGTAGGAAGACGTTTAGAATTCACAATTTTTGATCATATCGTTGTCGTATATTATACCTGGATTACCTGGATTGTCCAGACTATCGAACGTTTGTAAAGTTGCTGGCCACAATGCTCACGTTTCCGTGCACATTGTTTTAGCCTCAATTTACGCCACTCCGCTGGCTAGGCGAGCAGGCCAACCGAACACAACCGAGTAATTAACTAGCAGCCATGAATATTTTGCATAATTAATCGTAGCCAAATATCAATCCAATAAATAATCATAACTCTAGTAATATAAATATTCCGCCGATTGCTCGCAGCGATTGACAAAACAACCACTCGACGTCCAAGTAACAATATTAACAATAACAATGTTGTATATTATAATAACGACTTATTCTTATTTGATACCTCATTGAATCGACTCTTTATAAAGATTCTTTTTCAGTGACGGAATTATAGTTCTGTCACCGAAAAAAGTCGTATCTTATGAGCGCGACTCGAATAAAATACTGAACGAGGCAACGGATTTGCTTAAGTTGACTATTCGAAGAGTTTTGAATTTTACCTCATATATCACTCGGTGGTGCTAATGATAATAATCGATGTAACTGATTTTCAGAATTTTTCTCAATCAGTGGTTGTAAATATTTGACATATAAATGTATGCATAAAAATAATTTAAAATGGCAAGCCCTCGAACTCGACGAGTGATAAAAGATTTGCGAGTGATTAACGAAAATAATGTAACTAATTCCATTATTATCATTGTTGTTATTATAGTGTACCAATTAATGTTATTGTTTTCTGAAAAAATATTTATCGTTATGATTGCAGTTTTGCTTCGAATGTGGTGCAAGCAATCCACAGTGGGCCAGTGTAACATATGGTATTTGGATATGTCTCGATTGCTCTGGATTACATCGTGCTCTTGGTGTTCACATCAGGTTTCTATATATGTATACATATACATGCCAATAACAATTTTTGCATTCGTCATCAAAAATACACTTTTTCATCGAAATAGTTTAAACATAATTTATTGCTGCTTCATATTGTGATTTTGAATCATTTTTGACAAATGAATGATGATATTTATTGATGTATAGAAATGGTTTACCAATTACATTAGTGAGTAAATGATATTACAGTTTCGTGCGTTCCCTGAGTATGGATAAGTGGAAAGAAAGCGAACTAAATAAGATGAAAGTTGGAGGTAATAAGCATGCAAAAGATTTTTTTGAATCTCAACCAGATTTCCAACTGAATTGGTCTCTTCAGCAAAAGTACAACTCCAAGGCTGCGGCTTTATTGCGAGATAAAGTTATTATTATTATTATTATTATTATTATTATTAGTGTTGTGGTTTCTATGAAGTAATTAAGTAAGAGTGACGGTGTTTAACATAATATTTTATAGATATTGGCTCTATCTGAGAATCGTGAATGGTCTGTGAAGACGTCGTCAGCAAACAACTATACACCACCTCGTTTTCCATCTAATCGCAATTCGTCGAATAACAGTCATTTTATGAATGATAATACTAATCGGTACGCTGAAAGGTTTGTTACTTATTTTATCAAGACACATCTTTCGTAGTATTGTTCATCAAATAAATTTAAGTGAGAGTCGATATCAAGGTTTCGGTAATACAGCATCGGATGTAAATGCAGATGGTGATATATTGAGCGATGCGATGTCGTCTTTATCAGTGGTTTGTGATATTGTTTTTTGAAAGTAATAAGATGATGATGCTAAGATGAAGATAGTAATAAGATGATGATTTTATAAATGAAGGGTTGGAATATGCTGAGTAAAGGTGCATCAACAGCTGCATATTATGCAAAAGATATCGGTTCGCACGCAACTGCGAAGGCAACTGAACTTGGTGGAACCGTCACTGAAAAGGTTATTAATTGATATTATTGAGGTCAAACCTTGTTCCATGAGAAGGTCTACTGGTAATGATTCTGATAATGCATTGTTTCTCTTCTTCAATATTCTCAGCGAAGGAATGAAGGGAACAAGATTATTGTCTTTTCAATCATTTTTTTCTATCCCGCTCATAGGAGGAAGTTTTGCTCGAAACTGAATGTTGTGTCAGTATAACAGTTATTATTATTACGACTATTCTTACTACTGTTTGATGTAAAATCTATTTTGGATAGTAATAATAGGTGCGTGATTCAACTTTGATCAGTAATACAAGTCTTGGCAGTATTGCTCAAAGAGCAACTGAGCTCGGTTCACGATCTTGGAGTGGACTATCGAATTTCGTGAAGAGCTCTTCATCTCTGAATTCATTCAGTTTGATCAACCCGAATAAAAGGTAATAATCACTCAGTGCTTTATCAGTCATTTGGTATTCTATTGATCAGCTTTCATATTTAAGTCAATATGAGGATCTTACAACACCCAGCAAAACGGGATTTAATAATGCAGTCAGAGATGAATATCAGCGAGAAGAAGGCAACTTCAGGTTTTTTTTTTNTTTTTTTTTCGAATTATTGTTATCAATTAACAATGCTCATGTCTCATATGAGACCGCTTAGTGCCGAGATATTTAATAGATTGTTTATTATCGGTATTAGTAAGGTTGTTAGCATTAAGCTGATTGCAACTGAAGTTCGTTGATATGAGAGGACCAGTGAAGAGGTAGCGTTGAAAAAAGTAGAATATGCTTCTTTGATCCGGTGAATTGGTTTGCTAATCGTTTATTCGAGCTGTGTTTGGGTTGTTGTTTCAATACTTATGAATACTTATAGCGATGAATACGGTGATAAGAACGATGTTTCGAGTAAACGTGAGATCAGTTTTACAATTGATGGTGAGTTATGTGAATATTGTGTTGCATTTATTTCGCATTTTGCTCGAATTTAGGCGTGTTTTATTATATGTATTGTTATTGCAGATGATTGAATACAGATATGTTTTGTTACAAGCATTCGTATTGCAGATGATCATTCAGACGACACTCACTCATTCAAACGACAGCAGAAGCATAATAATACTAAAGACAAGAAAGCAACAACTTCATCAACTAACAAAAAGTCTAAAACAAAACCTGTTAAGAAAGAGGTATTGTGGGTAGATAAACACTTTTTACTTATTCATAAAAGCAATAAATCATCTCTTTATCAGTACACGACTCGTTCGATTTATCTTTCAGTTCAATTAAATCTCTTCATTCCTGACTTTTGTTCTTTATACTGAGTTGGACGTTGCAGTTCGCTGAATTAAATGAAACTAAGTATGTATGTAATAAGAGATATTCAGATGCGAGTCTCATCATCATTAATCGATTTCGATGCGGATATTAATGCGAATGCAGTTTCGACCGAAACGAGAGCAAAAACTGTTGAATTAGCTGAGAGTGATAAAATGAAACCAAAGAAGAAGGACTGGGATGATGATGCGTGGGATATATTGAATCAGTAAACTAATCATACACTATTATATTAACATCCTCACATTATTTCGAATATCGTTGTATTCTTAAAAATTTACGTTGCAGTTCTGTCGTATTTTGATTTTACTCCAAGTAGACATTTGTTTAGCATTACCGTTGTTGGAGCAAATGGATACGCTGGATTGTTGCGTTAGGGTGGTGTTATTAAGGACTTTTAACTGAGTNATTCTTAAAAATTTACGTTGCAGTTCTGTCGTATTTTGCTTTTACTCCAAGTGGACATTTGTTTAGCATTACCATTGTTGGAGCGAATGGATATGCTGGATTGTTGCGTTAGGGTGGTGTTATTAAGGACTTTTAACTGAGTTTTTTCCGTTTTTTATGTATGTTTCATTGATTTGTGAACGCTGATTCGTTTATAAGTAACGTCGTTCCGTGAAATACCCACATCTTTCCGTGATATTTGGCTGTTTTCAAAGGAGGTGAGAAAGACATTCTCGCGGACGTCACCTTTTCTGTTATACTTGCCACTTTGATTACATATTTATTCGTTTATTGATTGCTCTTTTCGATCGTTATTCGTCATTTTATTTGTTATCATTCCTAAAATGTAATTTTCATTCACTATCGGTTTGAAACGTTTTTCATTTGGATTCATAAGCAACAAATGCTTAACTTTGAGTTTTTAATTATTTTTTGTTTTATGATATTCTACTCCGACTGAAGGTGTTTATTTGTTATACTGTCTTATGTCAGTATTTTCTGTATGGTATGGTTGCTTCTGTCTTCTTTGCAAACATATTTGAGAGGAAGATTGATGATTAAAAAATTAAGGAGGCTGAATCAGATTTAAAAAATTTTCCATACTTCTATAAGCTTGAGCCAAAGTCTATCTTGTTTGCTTTTATTGATTGCTCTCGAATATCGTTGTATTCTTTCATTATCGAGTAGGGAGCAACTGAAAATGTATGGAAACTCACCTATAGCAGCAGTGTACAGAAACCGAAGTGTTATCAATGAACGCAGACAGTGACCGTTAAACGAGAAGAAGAAATTTTGCTCACTTCAAGCGTTGTTGCATCAGTTAAACTAAAAGAGTGCCAGAAACCTTTCGCAGGTAATTCGATATTCCGTTTAGATCTTCAAATAAACGGTTCTTGGTTTAGAGTGTGATTAGATCGGATCAAGCTATCATTAAGTACGAGGTAATAAACTATTCAAAATGTTATTGTAATTCTGTTACAATTGGTTGTGGCGAGTTGATAGTCATTTTTGTTTCCGCTCATTACTCTATTCATGAATAAATATTTTCCTTTCACTTGTTCGCTTGTGTTTTGTATGCACTAATGAGGGTATCTTTCAAATTCATTTTAAAATTCGGCAGCATCTACGAATGGAAGTGAGAAGCATATGCTCACAATTAGCACGTTCATATCAGTCAATCACGGCGGCTATGCCAGTTGTTTTATCGTAATATCAATACAATTTCGGTTTTATCAGCACTTTACGTGAAACAGCCCAGTTCACCCCATGTTGTCGTTGAACAGTGACCTTATGACCTTATAAATGTTCTTTCATTCCGACTAACAGTGCTGCGGAACACTCATTAATATTAAAGTTTTAGAAGGTGGTATGATAATCCGGTAGGTTGCGTTGTGATCTATTCAACAATATACTCTTTCGTTCGTGGTTTGCATTTGCATTGTTAAAATATTGCGTCCTGCTGTCATCCCTTATTTTTTATTTATTTTATTTATTCGGTTGTTATTGTACCTTTTGTACATAAGCCTTTTCAAGATCACTCCAGTTATCACTATTATCACAGTTCACTGCTCTTCTCATCCATGTTTGGCTGGCTCCTAAAGCTGGTAATGATGGTTGTTATAATCATTTTTTTCGTGTCTCT